AAAACAAAACACCCCTGATCCTGTGCCAGCTCCATGATCCTTGCTATACTTGCCCACCGTCGCAGCCACCATGTCAATCCATCTCGTTGAAGGCCTTCCCCTCTTTTGTCGACCCTCCACCTTCCCAAGCATGACATCCTTCTCCAGTACTGTATATAGTATTTTCAAATGGAATCCAGTTTCTTACAATATAACGTTCACAATGACAGCAAGAACATCAGATGTAATTAATACAACTGTTACAAGTACGTTCGATTCATAGCTTTCCTGTTCCTAAAAATTTCCAAAGAGGCTTAAAATCTAAATGATATACAAAAAACTTTATCAATAGATAAGTAGCCCAGAATGAAGAAGTTATTTAATTGAACGCTTACTTTGCCTTACAGAATTTACAGTTCAAGAACTTTTATGTATTTTCATAAAAATCTCACGCAGACTGGAAAAAGAAATCATGGTAAGATTCATTAGGGACATTAGCCAAGGCCTGGGACTCAGAATGGCAACACACATGCCAGGTACTGACTAGTCCTCCTTTGGCCCAATTCCTTCTGCAAAAGCTTCGATATCACCAAAACAAAAATGTTTTTCACAACTGTTTCAGTTTTTATTAGACTGTTGAAAATTTACATTTCAATAATGTGGAAATTCACTTACATATGCAATCTAAAAATCCAAAACCATGTTGTGATTAAAATGTGAAATGCCATTAATCTTCATTTGCAACAAATTCCACTTGAAAATAGAATGTTTTATAAGCTATTTCTTCATAGAAACTTTAAAAGCTACATCGATATAGTTAACATACTTCTTTGACTGCAAATGTGAAGTGATACACAGTACTTCTACATCAAGAGCAATGGCTATACCATCTTGCTGCAAAAATATTACATGTGGATTACTTTATTTCTTTTAAAAGGTTTTTCCAAAAAGCCTCCTTAGAACATTATCACTATTTTCCCTACATTTGTATGACTGAAAGTTTCAGTAACAAATGTTTTTGAAAAGTTATCACTTAATATTAAAACTCCTTTCAAACAAATCTGAAATATTACATAGATTAACCATATATTGCATTGTAACAATGTAACCATCACTCAACTTTGCCTTGCCGATACAATTAAAAGGCTTTTCTTACAGTAACAGTGTTCATAAGTTTCCTATCCAGAGAAACCAGTTGCTGCTGAGTCAGACTCATGGCGACCCAACGTGTATCAGAGTAGAGCTGTGCTCCATAAGATTTTAATGGCTGACTTTTCAGAAGTAGAACACCAGACATTTTTTTAAAACCACCTCTGGGTGAACTCATATCTCCAACCTTCTAGTTAGCAGGTGAGTGTGTTAACTGTTTGCCTTACCCAGGAACTCCTCTATCCAGAAGAGACCCTACCAACATATGCTATGAACACAACTAGAGAAGTACATGGCAGATATTAGTGTATCTTCACAACTTTTGGCATTTTCTCAGTCTATGTTATGGATTGAATTGTGTGCCCCCAAAAATATTATTATGTAATTATCCTCCATTTTGTGATCTGATGTAATTATTCCATGTGTTATAAACTCTAACTTTTATGATGTTAAAAATGAGGCAGGATTAGCGGTAGTTATATTAATGAAAAACCAAACCAAACCAAACTCACTGCTGTGGAGTCAGCTCTGACTCATAGTGATCCCTCCTTGGGTTTCTGAGGCGGTATCACTACGGAAATAGATTGCCCAATCTTCCTTCCAGCCTTCTGGTTAGCAGTAAAATGCCTCAGGTACTAGGCTACCAGAGCTCCTTATATTAATGAAGCAAGATACAATCTACAGGATAAGGTTGTATCTTGAGTCAAACTTTTTTGAGATATAAAAGAGATTAAACAAGTGGGTACAGATAGGGCCCTCAGTACCACCAAGAATGAAGAGCTGTCAGGACCACAGTTGCACGGAACATCAAGCTCAATTGGCATAACATACTGGGATCTTAAAAGCTTGCAAGCTGCTATCTAGATACAATGATGGGTCTCTCCTTGTCCAGAGCAAAGAAGTATGAAGAAAATAAAAAATTCATGTAAACAATTAGTCCTAGCAACTGGTACACCAAGCGACCTGCAGCCTATACAACGATGAGACCAGAAGAACTAGATAGTGCCCAGCTACCACTGTCAACCACTTGGAGGGGGATCTGTGTAGGAGATCCTGGATAGAGAGGGAGAACAATGTGGAACAAGGGGAACAAAACCAATCAAATATTGAAAAAAAAAAAAAGGGGGGGGACCAGGTTTGCTGGTCCGATAGAGCCTGGTGGAACCACTGAGACTATGGCCCCTAGCTGTCCCTCAGGTCTGGAATTGAACCCACATCTGTGGCTTCCACATATAAACTCTCAAATGTTTTCAGATCTTATTCTCAAATTTGAGGTTGAGTACATCTCTGAAATGATAAGGAAATTATTAAAATATAATTGAGGGACCAAATTCTTGATAAGTTGCTATCATGTTATGGATAACTGAAAGCGTTTCTACAAGTTAAAATACATATTTATTCAACAACTATTAGATAGGAACAAAGAACTACTACAATCAGCCACATAATACAGAGAATATGTAAAGACACTAAACTGTGTAAAGTATTATTCCTTCATGTGTCTGTTTCCCAATTTAGACTGTGAGGGAGAGCAGAAGCTACAGTTTTTTACCTTTTTATCCTTAGTACCTAGCTCAGTGGATACCACATAAGCAAGATTAACTATATACTAAAGCAAAGAGTTTCTGACTTGCAGGAACTGAGAAATCTAGCTAGGGAGGCAGGATGAACAGGCACACACCCACACACACAATTAAATACTAAAGACTTTTATAATGCAACAGATTTGCTTCCTCTAATCTGTTCTGCATACACCAGCACATCAATCTTAATACTGTCTTGTTATTTCACAACTGAGAAACTGGAATAGCTCTCCATAGCCTAGAAGTGGTTCTAGCTGCAAATGAGAATCACTCGTAGACTTTTTAAAAGTGCAGTTGCCGAAGTCCCATTCCAGATCTAATTCTATTTCTGGGCATCTGCCCATCCACAATCTCCTCCAGTGTGAAGCACAATCAGAACGAGAACCACAATCGGGTTTACCCTATCTGAGACGTTCCTCCGATCAGGCCAGTCCTCATATCCATTCTCTTAAGTTTTCTCCTGTTCTAAAAATGTCCACTTGCCTTCTCTCTAAATACTACTGGAGGTTCAAACCCACTAGCCACTCCTCGGAAGGAAAATGGGGCAATCTACTACCGTAGTGATACTGCCTCGGAAACCCAAGGAGGGGTCGCTACGAGTTGGGTCCGATCGACGGCACATAGCAACAACAACAATAACTATCAAAATGGGAGCTCTGGTAGCGTAGTGCCTAAGGCATTTGACCGTTAACCAGAAAGCTGGTGGTTCAAACCCACCAGCTACTCCTTGGAAGGAATACTGGGCAATCTACTCCAAAGAGATACCACCTCCGAAATGCAAGGAGGGGCTACTATGAGTTGAATCAATTTGAGGGCAATGAGTTTGGTTTTTTGGTATCCTTCAAAATAATCTTCAAATCCTTCCTCCTTTGTGAAATCAATCTAACCAATGTAACCCTCAAAGTCCTAAGTCTCTACACAAATCATTACTTTTTTTATATGCACAGTTCACTAATATTTTAGGTCTACTAATTTTGTCTCTTTAACTAGATTATAAAATTTTTAAACATTTCTTTTATATACTGGCAGGCATTTAACACCATCTGATGGATGACTGGCACATTTCCCTTACTACAGTAAACTTAAAACATAAATACGAGTATTATACAACATACACACAAATTTCAGACTTTGAAAATTATGTTGCCTTAATATCTAGAGCTATAGATGTTTTCAGGTAATCGGCTCTTTCCCTGGTTGTAATTTTATACCATCACTCACTAGCACTAATGTTAAACTTCCTTCAAATATTAGCTTATGTACCTAACTGAATGAACCATGCAAGTTCAACAAATCCATCCCAACAAATCCATCCCAAGTGAAGTTCATGCTACATTTCTGAAAGCATCCTCAAGAAATGTGTGGGAAGGTAATTGAGAGAAAGCATAATACACTGCATTTCAACAGACCTGGAATCCAAAGGGTCCAACTTCCTTGAGATTAGGTTTGAAAGTACAAATGTGGAAGTATATGGACAAAGGTAATTGTTGAAACTGAATCAGGTAATGGGTTCAAAAGGAATAGACACATGAAGAGAAGAGCAAATTTAAGACTGGATTATGGAGCAAATGGGAAAAAGGGGGAAGAAAATTGATCAAAGAATGAAATACATGAAATGAGAGAAACACAATGGAAAATCAGAACAGCAGACTACTTTAATGAAGTATTAAAAAAATATAAAGCAGAACATTAAATATAAAAGTTTATGTATTGTGCCACTGACAGAAAGACCTACATGCAGAACACCTACCCCAGGGTGATGCACCCAGCTACTCTAGGGAGATGCATCCCTTAGAGCAATCAGCCATGAGACACCAGAGGGGCAGCATTCACATAGAGGGAAAGCTGGACAGACAGGAGTGCACAGTTAAGAAGGGCACAGGGAGGGGGTAGTCAGCGGAAGAGAAGGGGAGAGCTTTTTATGGTTGGGGTGGTAATTAGGGTGTAAAATCAAATATGCATGAACTGTTGAATGTAAAACAAATTTACATTGTAAAATTGCAGCCAAAGCACAATAAATAAATAAATTTTAAAAAATAAATACATAAAATTAGTCACTGACTCACAACCTCAAAGTCATTAAAATACTATTACAGATAATTTTCAGGAAACTGCATTATATCTTGTATCTTACAAGGCACTAGAATATATAATGTGCCTAGATAGCACATTCTGTATCAAATAAAGCCAACCTTCCTAAGTTACTGCTACCTAAACCCTGCAAGATTACCTGAAAATAATTGTCTGCTCTGTTCAGTACTTTAAAAAATAAGCACTTTGCCACATCTACTGCGAGAATGAAGACCATTCTCAGCAATCAGACTGTCGACATTCCGGAAAATGTCGACATCACTCTGAAGGGACACACAGTTATTGTGAAGGGTCCCAGAGGAACCTTGCGGAGGGACTTCAATCACATCAACGTAGAACTCAGTCTCCTTGGAAAGAAAAAGAAGAGGCTTCGTGTTGACAAATGGTGGGGAAATAGAAAGGAACTGGCTACAGTTAGGACTATCTGTAGTCATGTACAGAACATGATCAAGGGTGTTACACTGGGCTTCCGTTACAAGATGAGGTCTGTGTATGCTCACTTCCCCATCAACGTCGTTATTCAGGAGAGCGGATCTCTTGTTGAAATCCGAAACTTCTTGGGTGAAAAATACATCCGCAGGGTTCGAATGAGACCAGGTGTTGCTTGTTCAGTATCTCAAGCCCAGAAAGATGAGTTAATTCTTGAAGGAAACAACATTGAACTTGTTGTTGAAATTCAGCTGCTTTAATTCAGCAAGCCACGACCGTTAAAAACAAGGATATACGGAAATTTTTGGATGGTATCTATGTCTCTGAAAAAGGAACTGTTCAGCAGGCTGATGAATAAGATCTAAGAGTTGTCCATCTACGGAAACAAGGCCAGATGATGCCTATGAAATATGGGTGATAATTTTGATGCAATAAAATCCATTTATTCATTTGGGTCTTTTTATTTTTTAAAATTTGTCTCTATCCTAAATTCTAATGAAGATTTGTAGTCTTCAGTCAAACTGATGATGCTTTCCAACTAATTGAAGAGTAACGATTCAGAAATAAACTAGTGCAAAGAACACAGTAACAGAAGGAAAAAAATAATAATAATAAGCAAAGCCTTCCCAGATGCAAGAACCTTAAAAAATGTACAGGAATTGAATTTTGACTATACTACTCTCCCTCCTTAGTTAATTTACAGCTCACTCTGTGGTTTTTTAAGCAGCACTATAGTTCTAGGAGTTTGAAAATGCTAGATATTAAAAAAAAGAACAGAAAGCGCCCAGAAAAGAATACCAGAAGAAATATTAAGGAAAATACTACCAATTTGGAGTTTAAGCCAATGTCCCAAAATAATGTTCCTTTCCAAAAACATTCAAAACACATTAAGTTGGGCCATGACAATGGCAAAAAGCAATTATTTATGAAAAACAGATTTCCTTCACTACCATAAATTGTTTCTCAATTGTGTCAATGACATGTGCTGCCTCTCAAAAGCATGCTCTGTGAGTTCGCTCATCCAGTAGACTTTTCGGATTACTAGTATCTAAGAAGGAGCTATGGTACCATAGTGCCTAAGGCACTTGACTGCTAACCAGAAGGCTGGGCAGTTCAAACCCACCAGCCACTCCTTGGAAGGAAGGTTGGGCAATCTACTTCCGTAGTGATACCACCTCAGAAACCCAAGGAGTGGTTGCTATAGTCAGGTCTGACTCGAGGGCATATAACAACAACAACAACAACATCTAAGAAGCCAGTTCAAACCCATCAGTCACTCCACTGGAGAAAGATGTGGCACTGTGCTTCTGTAAAGATTTACAGCCTTGGAAATACAATGGGGCAATTATACTCTATCCTATAAGGTCACTATGAGTTGGAATTGACTAGATGGTAAGGGGTATAGTATCTAGGAAGGTCCACTGTTATTCTCCTGGAAATAATGAAAATCATGTTTAGAGAGGTCCCAACTAATAAAGGAGAAAACCTTTATATAGCTTCTATCTTCATGGCTGGGAGCTCTGGTGGCATAGTGCTAAGACATTTGTCTGCTAACCAGAAGGCTGGTGGTTCAAACCCACCAGCCACTCCTCAGAAGGAAGGTTGGGCAATCTACTTCCGTAGTGATACCTTCTCAGAAACCCAAGGAGGGGTCACTATGAGTCAGGTCCAACTTGACAGCAGTGCATTTGTTTTTTTTTTGGTTTATTTTCATGGCAATGGAAGGTTCAAGTTATCCTATCCAGTTTTTACTCATGGCTAATCAATCTAAATATACAGAGTTATTATAAGAGGCTTTCGATCAAGAGCAATTTTGCCACCCAGGGGACATGTGACAATGTCTAGAGACAATTCAGGTTGTCACAACTAGGGACTGCTACTGGCCATGTAGCGGGTAGGAGAAAGGGAATCTGTTAAACATCCTATAATACATACAATAGCCCCACAACACAGAATTATGAGGCCTAAATTTCAGCAGTGCTAAGATTGAGAAATCCTGTACTTTGGGGAATGTAAACACAGCTTGATAAATGCACACAGTACCTACCGCCTGTTCCCTTAATTTGCTAATTTATTCCCTTTTGCCCCTTTTGTATCAGTGTCGTTTAATCTGTCGAGACTGATAATTTCAAGGCAGATCACTTAAAGTATAAGGCACTTGAATGCTAAACGAGGAATCAGAAAATGAAGCAAGTCCAACTTACAATGTCAAATGAGAGCATGGCATTATCAAAAGTGTACCAGTGTAAAATGCCAACATAAATATTTACTTCAGTTACTAAGATCATTATGGCATTGAATCTTATTGTACCAGATAAAGGAAGGTAACTAAGATATTCACCAGCATTTGGTAGCCTGGACAAGAAAAAACTAAATAGAAAGCTACCCATAAGTCTAAATTCAATAAGGTTCAAGATAGCTTAAGCTCTAGATGAAGGATTTGTCAGAGGCAGGGGGAAAATGAAAGAAAGAACTCTTGGAGATGCTAAGGATAAAGCAGTAACCACGGAAAATAATCTGGCATCATTGCGAGTTTAAGGAGGAGAAAGATAATTAAGGACAGAGAGTCAACCTCATTTATTTCTGGGAATCTCCAACAGGGATGAGGAAGTTTTAACAAGAAAGATGAGTTTAATATACACTTGCATAAACCAGACACCTCAAGCTGAGTGTGTCACAGTTAAGACTAAAGGCATAATTAAGGTGCATGATTTGTAGGTGAACAGTCACAGCAGAGACACTACCTCAAGTGGAAGTGTGGAGCTGGGTTAAGGATCTTCCCCTAAAACACATCCTCTATTCCTCTGCCCTCAACAGATCAAAAGAAGTTTTGACTTCCTGTGGGCACATGCTGATGTCATTCCTTTCTGTATCTCAGTCATTGGATGGATTCTCCAACACACATTTCAAACAAACATCCTTGCATGAAGTTGCCCTAGAAAAAGTACCAGGTATATTACTGAATTTGAGAGAAACACAGAAGAATCTAAAAGATTTCAAAAGCAGGATAAGAAATACAAAGGTAGATGGCAACCTATGCTGAAAGGATGCAGAAAAGATACAGTGGACTTCTAAAGCAATCTACAAGAAAATATAAATGTGTCCCCTCTAGACTAGTATTTTCAAAAACAAGGATCCTCCAGATTTTTTTTTTTTTTTAATCTTTATAAACATAATACCTAGCATAGCACCTGAAACTGACACTACTGAATTAGGAATCGTAGGAAAAAAAGGGGAGGGGAACAATTTGCATGCTTTTTCTAATGTGGCCATGTGCTGTGTATATGCCTACACTCTGGGCCACAAGCTTGAAAAGCTTAGGAAAGGGATGCATACTTTTGGATAGACTGACAACAAGGCATGCGTATGCACACACCTTCTTCATGTAACAGGCATAGTGACAGTATCACCAATGCCTAAGAGGAGAAGGTTTTGAAGAAAACAAGAAATTCTATAACAATATCACTCAAAGTAACAGGAGCCAACATGTTCAGGGTCTGAAGTTACTCAGACAGCAGGTCTAGACAAAATAAACATTTGCTCTATTACCTTTTTGTTATGTTGCCATGGGAATCTATGTTTGCAGGAAAACTTATTTTTCTGCCAGATGATAGAGCAGTAAAAGGGGCACAACTTTGAAGAAAGAAAGGAGCTTATAAATGTAAAGGCAGGGAAAACAATAAATCTGATAGGTTTTTATAGGGTCACATAGCTATAGAATCTTTCAATCTACAAAACTCATTCAAGTTAATAAACAGAGAAGTCTTTGTGGCCTCATAGCCAAGACATCAGTGAACAGGTAACAACAGTGTGTCCTCTATTAAAATTATTACAGTGGGGGAAAAGGAGGGATGTACAGCAAATAAAAGCACTGTGCTACCAGAGCTAAATAAAACAGAAAACAAATGAGATCTGAAATGCTTAAATGCTGAGGGAAGGTAAAAATGAATTTTAAAATATGACCCAATCGTAAGGAGAAACCTAGAAGCCCAGAGAAGTTAGGAAACACTGAACCTGTCATCAGGCTAATCCTTTGTCAGCTTAAGTCTAGAGCTAATCTCTTAGCTCCTTCCTTTTGGCAATAAAACCTGAAAACGTAAAGTAAGCCCATGTTAAAGAGTAGGACTGGATACCCTGAGTTTCCAAGGTTCACCAAAAGAGCTGGCTCTAGTACTCTGGGCCTGCTGGAATGGGAGTAGAGGGTCTGGGTCAGGGCTTTGTGTAAGAATGCTCCACATACCTTTGCCTCTCCTCCTCCAACTCCTAACTGACTGGCCTCTAGCTCATTCAGGTATAGCCATACCAATCCCCTCCTTGGATTTCCGAAGTGGTATCACTAGGGAAGTAGTTGTCCAATTTTCCTTCCGAGGAGTGGCTGGTGGGTTTGAACTGCCAGCCTTTTGGTTAGCAGTCAAATGCCTTAGGCACTACGCCATCAGCGCTCCTTAGATATTCCTGGGAAACACTAACCACTCTCATGTCTCATGGCCATTGTACCTGCTGCTCCCTCCATGCAGAATGTTCATCCCTCCCTATCCCATCCATATCCAACTCATGCATTCCCTTACCTCCTTCAAGTCTTTGTTCAATGTCACTTTATAACTGAAGCTTACCCTGACCACCCTTGTTAAAAATGCACCACAGCCACCCCAGTACTACTCAGCACTTTCCTTGCTTCATTTTCTCATAGCACTTATCACGTGACATACAATTAAAATCTACTTATTTACTGTCTAGGTCCACTACTACTTTCCCCCACCCTGGAATATATAGAATCTTAAGGACAGAAATGTTTGTTTTGTTCAAACTCTATCTCTAGTATTTAAAGAATGACTCATATGTAATAGATGCTCAAGTTATCTATGTAACATATGGAGTCCTGTCCACAAGTAAATTAGCATGAACCTATCTTCCACCCCTTTTCTCTCTGGAATACTGTGCCCTACAATATTCCAAAGTTCAAAAAATGGCACTAAAATCTATCCACCTGTTCAAGGCTAAAACATAAGAATCACCTTGGTCTCTTCCTTCTTATGAACTTCTTTCTCCCACATTCAACCTGGGAGTGGAGTGTGTCCAGACCCAAGATCTATTGGTCAAAAGTGCAAAATTTATAGACCACCATCCTCCTCTTCCCTAGAGTAAGTTCCTAAAAGCTTTCATTGTTGGGGAACTGGTTAATTTTATAAATTCTTAACATATATTTATTTAATTTATGGAAGCACTGTTCTATAAGAACAGTGTTAAGAATGAAAAGACGAAATAGTTCTAATATCCAGTTTCTTTCAGGAAACACATTCCGAGTATAAAGAAGTGTTTGCTTTGTTTTGTTTTGGTCCTGGAGAAATGCATGTATAA